CGCGCGGTGAAATGTGGAGAACGCGGTCAGGTTCCGGACGCCCCTGGACTGTTGCCTCCCAGAAGGCGCTAGGGCCACCCCGATGAGTGCCCGCATCGAGGACCAGCAATCGACTGCTGGACGCCATCTCTCACTTCCTGTGACTCCTTCCCTTCTGCGCTGCTGACCAATACGCTGCTGTTTCCGACCACCTGTACCGCCACTCACCACACGCGCCTCAGGCCTTATCTCGTCTTTGCACGTCGCTCCTTTCGCCGCCGCCTGTCAAGCCCGCGTTCCGTCATCAGGCGGGACTCCTCCATCATCACGCCGTCCACCACCCTTCGCAAGCGGAAGGCCGACGAGGCAGACAACTACCTCAGCCCCGCCGAGGAATACCCCCACAAGAAGACCAACCACTCTGTTGTTACTCTACCAGCCACGCCCGCAACCGACGCCGGCAAGATGGACTCGGACGACGACTTCAACAGCTCCATGAGCGGCGATGACTTTGACGACCAGGACAGCGACCTGGACCTGGAAGAGGGTGCGCATCCCCCAGCTGCCACCGAAGACACGTGCTAACACTGCCTAGACTCGGACTTTGACATGGACCAAGATGACGTCGGCTTTGAATCACAAGACAAGGACATCAAGCCCACGAAGCAGGCCTTCGAGGTAGACTTCAAAGTCTTCGACCCCGCCCAGATCCAAGCACAGCAAGATAAGCAGGTTGATGAAGTCTCGAGCATCCTCGGCCAGCCCCCCGAAGCCGCCGCCATCCTCCTGCGGCACCTGCGATGGAACAAGGAGCGCCTGATCGACCAATACATGGAGAAGACAGACGAGGTCCTAGAGCTAGCGGGTCTGGGCCAGGACTCTACCACCAATCCGCCGAAAATAGAGACGATACCAGGCTTCGTCTGCGACATCTGTTGCGACGACGACGCGAATCTGCGGAGCTTCGCCATGAAGTGCGGACACCGGTTTTGCTTGGATTGCTACAGGCAGTATCTCGGCACTAAGATCCAGGACGAGGGAGAGGCTGCCCGCATACGCTGTCCCGGAGAAGGCTGCACTCGCATAGTCGACTCAAAATCGCTAGACCTTCTCGTTACGGCAGATCTCCAAGACAGGTACGTGATGATCGCTCTACTTTCCTCAGCTTGCTAACAGTCGTAGATACCACACCCTCCTCACGCGAACCTACGTCGACGATAAAGAGAACCTCAAATGGTGCCCTGCGCCCGACTGCAAGTACGCCGTGGAATGCCCTGTAAAGAGCAAGGACCTCACCAAGATCGTACCGACAGTACACTGCGAATGCGGACACGACTTCTGCTTTGGATGTACATTGAACAACCACCAACCTGCACCTTGCGCGCTGGTGAAGAAGTGGGTCAAGAAATGCGAGGACGACTCAGAGACCGCCAACTGGATATCAGCCAATACGAAGGAATGCCCGAACTGTAACTCCACAATCGAGAAGAACGGAGGGTGCAACCACATGACGTGCAGGAAGTGTCGCAATGAGTTCTGCTGGATGTGCATGGGCAAGTGGTCGGAGCACGGCACGAGCTGGTACAACTGCAATCGCTTCGAAGAGAAGAGCGGATCTGAAGCGCGCGATGCGCAGGCTAAGTCCCGGCAGTCGCTCGAACGATACCTCCATTACTACAATCGCTTTGCGAACCACGAACAATCGGCGAAGCTCGACAAGGACCTTTACCTTAAGACGGAGAAGAAGATGCAACAGCTACAAAACTCATCAGGCATGTCGTGGATTGAGGTGCAGTTCCTTGACCAGGCTTCACATGCGCTTCAACAATGCCGACAGGTGCTTAAGTGGACCTACGCCTTTGCCTACTACCTCGCCCGCAACAACCTAACGGAGATCTTCGAGGACAACCAGAAGGATCTGGAAATGGCCGTCGAGAACCTCAGCGAGATGTTCGAGAAGCCTATCGATCAGTTAAAAGACCTCAAGGTCGATATCCTTGACAAGACTTCATACTGCACCAAGCGGAGGATCATCGTCCTCAACGACACAGCGGAGAACCTGAAGCTCGGTATGTAGTCCACACGACTCCATGCACTCCTCATTGAACTACTGCTAACATCAACAGGCACATGGAAATTCAACGTAGACCTAGTCTAGAAGCCTCCTAAACCTCGATCACAACGGCCTCTACTCACGTTTACGAGTACCACAAATACTCTTGGACTGAGAACACGTGTATGGCGGTATTAAGGATCGCTGTCAGGAGGTCTGCGCACGAAGTGTAATGGGCTCACCTTATACAAGGGAAAAACTGAACACCTAGGAGCCTACGTTGTCGTTAGGCCACTAGCTTCGCAAGGTTTTATCTTAATGTAGGCTCTAGAGTGTTCAGTTTTCCCTTAAACAGGGTGGGCTAGCAAAGACGATGAAGTTTCACGCTGTTTTTACGTTGCATGGTCGGTTCCACTGGCGCTTGGAGAGAGGTATGGCATTGTTTTGCATGGCGTTGATAAATCTGTGGTAATCAGCGGTTCAGCGGGCTAGGCTTAGCATTTTATCTTCTTTTATCTTCGACATTTCCAGATACTCGACGCAGGTTCAGAGAAGATATCGAATTAGACGTTCAAATTTCAGTGTTGCTGTTGCTCTGGCGTCGTAATGGAGTGCTGTTTGAAATTCGAAGATTGTCAGTGGCTCTCGCTTCTACGAATCCGTCCCCGTACGACCATAGGATGGTAACCAGATTATGCTGTGCAAGCGAGGGCAAATAGTTCCGCTGCTTTTCTTTCATCCTCCATCGTCTCACATACGTACGCAAATTCCAATCCTACTCCGACCTGCAGACCAACCCAGACGCCGACATCGCCGCCGCCGAGGTCGACACCTTCGTCGCGAGTGATGTGAGTACCTCCCCGCCCCCCTATGATCACCCACCCAGCACTAACAAAATATTCGTATAGCTGATAATGACAACGCAAAATACCCATAGCCAGTTCCTGGAACTTCCGGCCGAACTGCGACTGATGATATACTCTTACGCTATCACCAACTCCGTGCCGGTACTGGCTACTGTCGTCAGCATCAACACTGACGGTGGCTCTATTCAAGTTCCCAAACTTTACGCACAAGGGGAGTATCACACGCGGTACACTCTAGAGACCCCTCAAATTCCAAAAGCCGAGTTCAACCAGCTTCGATATGTCTGCCGCCTACTGTGTCAAGAAACGCGGGGTTTGAGCCTGCGGTATAACGAATTGGTTTTCATGAAAGAGCCAGGAACGACAACACCGGCACAAGCAATATGCGCGAGGTTTTTAGAGGCCATTCCTGCCAGTGCACATGCGAGAATCCGACAGATTACGGTCATCGCGGACACAGTGACGCCCAGGCCGTTGGAACACGCTTCGATCACTAGGGATTGTTGGTACGATATCGGGCAGCTGCTCACGGGCGGCGAATACCCCATCATACACTCATTCTGTCGCGCCAACCCAACTGCGAAAGTCGTGCTCCGCTACGACACTAGGCGTATAAACAAGTTCGGACACGAAAAACCTCTTATGGTAGGCACCAGATACGCGCTGCTTCACGCTAGCCTACGCTTCTTCTTGCGTGGCTCTTCGGCTGTTGAGGCAGGGTTGCTCCAGGCAATGACAGGGGGTTCAAGTCATCCTCAACATCACTATCCCTACGGATTGTGGAGAAAGATACATATTGCCGAGTGGGCAATTGCTACATGTATGATACCAGCGATAAAAACGACTCAGGATGCTGAGAAGACTTTCAAAGGGGCGCTATTGGACAATTTCAGAGTCACGATTTCTAGATGGTATCGTGTGCCGAGTCCGCTGTGGGTGATGAAGGATGAGTGGTATGCAGCTGCGAGGCGGGAGTTTGAAGAGGGGTGTTAGACGCGTTGGAGAAGTGGAAATGGAAGAAGAAAGGTCATATGGTGCACGATATTGGCTACGGGCAAGATATAACTTCATTCCCACCCCAAACTCTCCAAATACCAGACCACCGATATAAAAAGTCCATCATCATCTTCCATAACCCTCATCTCAGCGCCTTCCTCAATTTCCTCATTTCATCACCCCTACCACTCATTATCCTCACCAAACCAATACCCTCCAGGCATGTTCACACCCCATCCGGGTTGGCCGAACGAATACGGATCACCCAAGCTAGCATGCATACGCGGTCCGCGGTTGGAGTTAACGCGCGGTCTCCTCCGTAGCTCCGTTGAGTAAGGAGGGCTCACACTGCGGTAGTCGCCGGGGTGGTGTCCGCGACGTGGCTCTTCGTGGCGATTGCGTGGTGGTGAGATGCCGCGCCTGTACGCGTAGGGATTTTGTTGTGCCCATTCTTCGGGGGTGAAGCGGGGGTACATGGTTGGTTTTGATGGGGATTTGAGCTGGGGTGGATTTACTGGGTGGTAGTGCTTTGGTGTTTTGTATCGTGGAAAGTAGCTAAGAGATGTAGTGGAGAATGAGCTGGCTTTGTTGATGTGGTAAAGGTGCAGGGTAGCTCTGTGCTTTTATATGTGGGCGGCATGATGAATGCATGGGATAATGTGACCGGAGTATGAGGTGTTGCGAGAAAATGGGTGAGTTGGCGAATCTTAGGATAACGATGCGCTGGCTCGAAGTGATGGGCTGTGATATTTCTGGAATGTGCTAGATATTTGATGACATTGCTGGAACTCGTTGACATGTCTCGTCCGCCTGCGATGCGTATTTCTGTAACCGTGACAGACATCTCGGCCGCAAGAACTACTACCGAAGGGCTGTGTTCTTAAAGCGAGAAGAAAAAGACTGAATGTATACGAAGTTTCTGTGAACCTTCAGTAGCTATCACTACGTAGTCGTTCTGGACAGACTTGATGCGACATTATGCGACATTGCATTGCCCGAACATGGAAATTATTCGTTTTCAGAATCCCAAGTTTTCACTCTTGCAAGGATGTTTCTATCCTCATTCAACCCCTTGTGACGTAAAGGGGAGAAGTAACTCAACCATCTCACTCAGAGAATACGGAGAGCGTGGTGGGCGTGTCATGTATAGAGCGGTCTGGATGGAAATGGTGATGATCAGGAATGACCAAATGAATAGGACAATGCGACAACCCCTAGTCGTACCAATGCATAGAGCGAGAATCAACTCCAACGGCAAAGGGATAAGGAAGATGCCATTCCGTGGCAGGGATATTGCACTGAATAGCGTCGCCAGGATACAGGCAATCATGGCAAGGATTGAAAGCTTGTGGCTCTCAACCCATACCCTGATATCCAATTGTCGGGTTTTCTTGTTTTGGAGGACGAGTGGCGCAGCGTAGGAGATGGATCCTCCACGCAAGTCTTTCTCGATGCGTCGACGCAGCTTAGCTTCGGTAACCGTAAGGACTTCATCGCCTTCCTCGCTTACGAGTCCAGTCGTTTGTTCTCGCATGGTAGATGCAAGTTCTAAGACAGCCTTGTATTCTCCTGCAACGTTTTCTTTCTCTCGTCCTCGTTTTTGCATGACCATGTAGGCTCTGAGCCACATGATGTAGAGCCCTGAATTCCAGACTATCATAAGGATTACCATGATGAACAATTGAACATAAGAAAACCCCCACTTATAGTCCTGCATGAGTTAGTTAGAAGAAGGTTGCTTCGCGTAAGATGACTTACCAATACAGCTTGACACATTCCATTGTTACGCATGTAGTCATAATGGTACGTTCTGTTGTTATATGCCCATAGCAGTGACGACTTATTGGAAGTTACACTGAATGCTTGCTCTGTCATATGGACACCATCGCCTTCTTGCAGAGAGGGAGCTGAGATGTTCAGGACAGGAGATGGTAAATTGATGCCCGCGAAAGTCGAGTTCGTAAGATTTTCGCCGTTCAGACCGTAGTCTGCAATATCTTCCCGTATATCAGCAACATTCGTACTCCTTTAGGTAGCTTAGCTTACACCTAGACACATTGTACATCAAATCGCAGACTCCAGGAGTACTGCTGTCAACCCCGGTAGCTCCGTAGCAGAAGTTAAAGTTCGAGCTAATTGACTCAGGTGAAGAAATCACTGGCTGATTACCAGGGAAATCTGCTCGAGCCCAGTCAGATTCCGAAAGCTGCTCATTACCATGATTTCATTACCTATGTTCCGGTCAGTGCTTGATGTGACACCATGGTCGCCACCCAGCTGCACGCGCCAACCGTCATGGATAACGAAGTAGGCGAAGGCGAAGGAGCTGAAGCGAATGTAATCGCCTTCAGTCGTGTTAACAAATGCTTCAACGTTCGCGCTGTAACCAGTCATTGCACTGGCGAGGGTCGGATACATGAATGTCAATATCATGGTATACACCATGAAGACCATGGCGATCCTGGAATGCAGACCGTGACGTGTCACAAAATCTCGAATCGTATAGATGATAGCAAGGAAAAGGCCGCCGCTCGGTAGGAAGATTGTCCGATATGTTCCGAACGTGACTGGTGTAAGTTCCATGGATGTCGTCACGTATTTGGCAAAGACGCGCCACGATATATATGCGATTAGCGCCTGACCACCTCGTCCTACTAGCTTGAGGATAGTTAGCTCTCACGTTTTTCGAACACACACTTAGCTGCCCGGCCAAGGGGATAGCGGCACTCACGATATCCCAGCTGATGTCTATAGCCTTGACTTGTGTGAAAGTCATATGACCCCATCCCAAAGTGATTTGAAAAAAGCCCGAGCCGCTCAGATATCGAAAATATGATGGATCCAATGTGAATGCACCATCGGGCAAACAAGCTTCTAGTTCAACGGGAGCCTTGGAAGTGAGATATGACAACCATGCCAGACACAACAACAGCGTGGCCATTCCAACTGGGAAAAGTAGCCACACTCCACAGCGGTGCCATCGTTGACGAATGTCTCTAGCTGCTTGCCGATGACTTTCGCAGCAGGTCGTCCAAAAGCGTGAGATTCCTATGCGGAGCGTGGACCCGATGTGTGAGGGTTTTGATATCATTGCAGAAGCGGAAAGATGAGTACTCGCTTTTCGCGAAAAAGCCTATGCGGTGCATCCGATATAGGTGTAAGACTATCAATAGCACTGGGAACCAGGACCTTGATAAAGTCATAGATAATGTAAGACCGCGCGTTCTTCATGCACACCATCTGTAGGCAGACCGGGCGTAGTGCTTAGACGTCCTTCTGCTGACTGCAGCACCGCCTCGTTGATCGCACTGGGGTCCATTGCACATCGTTTTCGGTCAGATAACGGTCTACGCAAGTCTTGTGCATCGGCAGATTACGATCCTTAGGGACAGGATATTGCTTGCGCTTTTGTGTCAGGTTCTCTCCACCGCAGCGACGGCGGTAGTGGTGGTGGTGGTGATGGTTCTTCCAAGGTCATAGGAGTGGCGAGCTGCGCATCGCGTGCAGCACAGATGTTGGTTGACGGGCAGTGGGCTGTGGCACTCCGCCACCACATGTGCAGATGACATACAGCCTTACCGGGTTATTCATTGAACGTGCACGCATAGCAGTGTGTCTATATTGCTGTGAACACTGGTGACCTCCCGACGCACATGTGCAGTCGAACGCGACTTTGAGGCACTGGAGGAAGGTAGTAGTGGGATGACGCTGTCGCGCCAACGCTAATCCTCAAATCGGCCCTTTAAGGGCGAAGTCACCATGAACGCCATGGCGAAGGTCTCAACACATAATCATTGATTACATCTCGAACAACTCAAAAGGCGACTGGTGGTGAGTACCTAAATACAGTCTGACAACTTTATTGATGCGCGACAGACGTGCCTTCCGCTCCCAACCACCATCGCTCATCAAACAAAGGCCATCTCTGGCTTATTTCTCGCCACCTCTGCCTTCCGGATGTTGTGGTAGTCCATATCCCCAAGATCAGAGGTTGTGTTTACTGACACCAGCGGATCATCTTGCGATGCAGGTGGACTTTGCCTCTTACCACCCCAGATGAATGTTCTGACGGTATTCAATGTTCCTCCTAGCGGTCTCTGAGTGGCGATCCTCGGCGCGCTTGGATCCTCGTGCTTGCCCTGGAGCGCGTCGCTTCGCTGGGGACTCCGCCCGCTGCTTCTTGAGGATCTGGAGAGCCTTAGCACCGACAGTATACGGTGCCCAAATCGCTGGAATACACTATCCTGCTTTCGTCGGTCGTCATCGACAGGGTTGGCGATGAAGACTCCGCGGATAACAATGACGGACGCCATTATGAGCGCGACGCAGGATTCGACCATGAACCAATACGCAGCCCACACCGGTGCAGTTCCGAATGCCGCCGCTGTTGTTTCGGTCAACGAGCCAACGACCCGTATCAATGCGCAAACAACCATTACTGCCGAGAGACCCATCAAGGCCACAATTGATAGTTTCCGAGAAAATGACATCATCGACTGGTTTACGACGACAATGGGAACGGTAACGACTAGAAATAATGAGCCTTTGAACCGGGGAATGAAGTTCCTAGCTGTATGACCTACTGAGAATATCGCCTATGATGTCAAGGACGCCAACGATGACATTACCCGCGACACTTCTCTTATGCATCTGGGCATCGCCGCATTTAGCTGTATGAACTCAGTATTTCGGGTCTTCATAATGGATAAAATATTGACTGACCTGCGTCTGCACCAAAGTGGGCACATATGACGACGAAGTTGACTACGGCATAGATCCAAGCAATGACAAGAAAGCCTGCGGTGATCCAGAAAAATCGTACGACTCTGACCGACAGTCCAAGGGTCAGGCCATGGAAGAAGTACATGAAAGCAAATTTGACTAGATAAATGGAATTCCATCCGAAGATGGAGAATATGAACGCCCACTTGGGGATGTCCAAGATCGCAGGGATGTCCTCTCGGAATGGTATTGTCTTCCTTTGGTTTATGGCTTCGACGAGATAGAAAGGATTAAGAGCTTTGTGGACGCAGGCGAACGCTACTGTTAAGCACAGCGACGACACCAAGACGAGTCCATCGTCCCATCGTATTTTTCGGCCTCCAAAGATGCGAATCGCGAAGCGCACGAATACAGAAAGAATGGCAAGTCCAAAAAGGAGTCCAGTTGAGATCTGAGGTATTCGTCAGTATTGGAAATATCGGCCAGTACGGGGAGTGCATACCACGAATGGCGCCTTGTCGATTCTACCAGCATGTTCGATGGCGTACTGTCTGCCAGGCACGTATTGCGCGGGTGGCAGTTTCGATGGATCAATCGACATGACTGGAGAGATACTTTGGTAGGATGAGATCTCGGTGAGAAGACTGGACGATATAGCTACAGAACTTCAGGCGGGACGTCGAGACCTAATAAGCACATTGCAAGATGTGGGATCACAGGCGACTGCATATAGGCTTGGGGCTGAGAAAACTTGGAAATAGTAATTGCATTCAGAACAGATAATTGCCTGCTCATCTCTTGCGCTAATCATTGGAGTCGCGGCTTCGTGTGCTGGATGGTGGTGACAGCCCGGAGCTGTTGCGTGTGGGGGCTATGACCGGTCGGCGTCGGGTAATGAAGCACGAATCACAACATCCCCAAGAAACCGACGACTCGGTAGCATGTTATTACACGGCATGGGTAAAATCATTTCAGCTGTCGGGGTGCATGGCATTGTAGTACAAGGCTGCGGTGTTTGTGCTATAGATAGTGCTGACATGCATGTTGCCCAAATAGGGCTAGCGCCCTACCCGTGCCGCCCCCCAAGGCTACTTCCTCGTGCGCCTTGCACTTCGGTGGCATTTCAACATCAACACTCGCGAAATCGAGCTCATCTACTCGTGCTTTTGTGCCGCCCTCGGCAATCTTTATTGCACGAAACGTGAGTAAGCATGACGCGGGTCAGCATGCCAGCCGTTGTGGCTGTTGCCGCCGGAGCCTTGGTCATGTTCGTAGCCAGCTTAATGGCTAATCGGCAACACATCAAGAGGCTACAAAAGTCAGGTGCAGTAAGTCGACTCTCCGATATACCGCAGACGTACTTCTAATAATAGCCAGCCTATGCCAAAACACCATCCTCTGTTCGGTCATCTCATCGTGTTGAAAGAAACCATTCAGGACCTGCCTCGCAACACTGTAATGCATGTAGTAGTACGGCGGATAGCAGAGTCGTTCCCCGGTGGCGTCTTTTATCTCAACCTATGGCCTTTCAATGCTCCTCTCATGGTGGTCGCAAACCCTTATGTTGCATCGCAAGTAGAAGCTGCTTTCCTCAACAAGCCGCCCAACATAAATGCTACCTTGGAGGTCATCAATGGTGGTCCGTCTCTACTGACAATGGAGGGAAGCACGTGGAAGAAGTGGCGAGCGCTGTTTAATCCAGGATTTGCTGCTGGCTACATCACAGGACTTTCACCTGCGATCGCCGAGGAAGTCTCAACTTTCTGCAAACTTCTCCAAGAACGCGCAAAGAAAGATGAAGTCTTTCCTTTGGAAGAGTATACCCTTCGGCTAACATTCGACATTATTGCACGTGTCACCCTGTAAGTTCACCATTCAGTACGCTTGCAACATGGGGCAACTACTGAACATCGGACACAGTGGCTCACGTCTATACTACCAAACCCAAGGAAGCGCGCTCGCAGATTGTCTCCGAAGACAAGTCTACTGGACATCGTTCGGCACAACATTCAACCCGTTCCGTCGCTATCTCAGTCCTCGCCCATTTGTTCAAAAGTACAACAATTACCGTATGAACCGATACCTCGATGAGGAAATCGACAAGCGCTTTGAAGAGTTGGCCAGCTCCCGCAAAGACTCATCTGGTGTTTCCCGCAAACAATCGAGATCTATCATTGCGTTGGCCATGGACAAGTATCTCGAAGATGTAGAAGACAAAGATGAGATATCAGAATCGGTCTTCAAGCAGCTCGCGAAACCTCAACTTCGGTTGTTCCTTTACGCTGGTCATGATACTACGAGTAGCACACTACTGTACAGCTACATACTCCTCTCGCGTCACCCAGAGGCCTTATCTAAAGTCCGTGCAGAACATGACAGGGTGTTCGGGTCAGACTTCTCGCTCGACACCATCACGCGGATTATCGCAGACGAACCCTCACTACTGAACCAGCTACCTTATACCTTGGCTGTCATCAAAGAGGTTCTACGTATCTTCCCTCCCGCCGGCAGCATGCGCGATGGCCGTCCAGATGTCTTCCTATCAGATGAGCAGGGCCAACAATACCCAACAGACGGCTGTAACATCTGGACCCTCACCTTAGCTTTACATCATAACCCCGAAGTATTTGTGCAGCCTGAAGATTTTATTCCTGATCGCTGGCTAGTCGATCCTGAAGACCCATTGTACCCAAAGAAAGCTTCGTGGAGAGCTTTTGAGTGGGGCCCCCGCGCATGCATCGGGCAGACGCTTGCAACGTTGGAACTCAAGATCGCTTTGGTTATGACGGTGAGGATGTTCGATATTACGCCGGCGTATGAGGAGTGGGATAAGTTGCATCCGAGGAAGGGTATCAAGACTGTTGATGGGAATCGAGCGTATCAGGCTGAGATGGGTGGTGGTGGTGCTCATCCGGTAGACGGGTTGCCGGTTAGGGTTACGCTGCGAGCATGAGGAGGTCGAGAAGGATGCAAGGAGTGAGAGAGAATCTTTGCTACAAGTTGCAAAATGCAACCTAGCTGGCAACTGGCACTACATCCTGAAGATATACACTAGCAGCAGCGGATTCATCCTTTGCTTCCACATTCTGGAATTGTCGTTTCGGGGTAGACTCTCTTCATTTCCATGCTCACCTTCACCTTCACCTTTACCTTCACCTCCGATCCATTCAGAGTCCGACGTCCGTGCCTCGCCATCATCTATAATACCCTCCTTACGCAACCTATCCCACAAAGTGACACTAATCACAGTCCACGGAATCTCAGGTCTTCATCAACGACAACATGGCTGAGCACGCTCGCGAAGAGCTTGTCAACACTTTCAAAGGGCATGTACTCAGATCAGCTAAAGCCTATCCAGAAATTGACTAACTCTACGACAGCTTGCTAGACTCGGGCGCATACTCCGACTTCACCATTACCTGCGGCAGCGATACGTACAACGTCCACAAGGCTGTGGTCTGCACTCGATCGGAGTTTCTCAAGGGTGCGGAAAGGTTCGCTGCTAATCAGGTAAGCTATATATTACTCGTGTGATTATACCGCGCAATTGTTGACGCACCTAGCAGCAAGCAACAAGTGCCAAAGCCGATCTCTCCGAGGACCATCCAGACATTGTTAAGCGGCTTGTCAAGTATCTTTACCAAGGCGAATACGATTCCGAGAGAACCGATAGGACACCTGCTGCAGTCGACTTGCCTGCCGTGAAAGTGCCCAAATCATCTCGGTACCATTACAGCTTTCCACACACATGCCAACCAGATTGTCGGGGTTCCAGCCATATGGTCTGCCATCATCATATTTGCGGCGTAAGGTTATGTGGCTGTTGCTGTGTCGACTTCGTATGCCTTGAATGCTGCCCGGACTGGACTTCTTCCACAATACCCACAGCAGGCGCGTCACAGCTCCTCCTTCACGCCAAGATGTACGAAATGGGCGACAAGTACGACGTTAAGGGTCTCAAGGATCTGGCCCGCATCAAATTCACCTCTATCTGCGCGCCATTGTGGGACGATGAGGTCTTCGCTGAAGCTGCAGAACACGCCCTCAACACAACACCGGATACCGATGTTGGATTGCGAGAAGTGATTCGCGAGACCATCGTGGCCCACATCGAGCTGCTCAACAAGCCCGAGATTGCGGCTTTGCTGAGTAAACACACTGGCTTCATGTTTGGTGTTCTGAGACGCGTGGCTGAAGAGAAGGCGGGCTTGCAGCCAGTGACTGGACTGTTGTCGGATCGCCGTCGCCGTCGTTATTGAGACATGAACTGTCGGTGTCGTGAAGGGAAAGCGTGAAGCGCCAATGATGGACGTTAGGTTGTAGTAAGAACACCAAGACTCTCCTTCACAAGCACATGACCTGCAGCAACGGTGCAAGTAGGCAGACATTTACACGAGACAGAAGCGACGGTTGGTGGAGGAAAGATAGATCCATTCCAGATATCTAATCTACCTCACATTGCGTTCCATATCAAGAGTAACGTACAGTACATCAACTTGTGCCCAATGAGATGGGAGACACATGCTCCATGTAAGAAATCCAGACGCCGATACCGAACCCATGCCATTCCATATATCAGTAGACCCTCTTGGGTCATATTAACGATCATATCATGTCACATTTACTGGCTAGCGACGCGCTCCTTAACCTTCTCGAACATAGACTCCATCTCCTCGGCAATGAAGTCCTCGATCTCTTGCTCAAGGTGCTGGAGCTTGCCTCCGGCGCGGTGAGCGGTGCGGCTGGCAGACTCCTTAGCGCTCTCAAAGTCACCCTCGATCTCGGAGAGAGAAGGGATGGTGATGGTGAACTCGGACTCCTCCTCCTTCTCGGCAGCCTTCTTGACAGAGTAGCCACCCTTCTCAACAATCTCGGTGTAGTTGGAAGAGCCACCACCGTTCCAGGCGAGGACGTTCTTGGTGTTGCTTGGGACATCAGAGAGAGCACCGACGGTGGCGACAGAGATGAGGTTCTCCTTGAGCTTCTTGGGGGTGATGCCGGCGACAGCGTAGGCAGAGTCCTTGCTAGGCTGAAGAGACAGCATGTAGGCGAGGAGACCAGCAATGTGGGGAGAGGCCATTGAGGTTCCAGAGATGGTGTTGGTGGCGTGCTCAGAGCCGATCCAGGTGGAGAGGATGTTGAGACCAGGGGCGAAGATGTCGTTGCACTTTCCGTAGTTGGAGAAGTAGGCACGCTCATCGAGGAGAGTGGAGGCACCGACGGTGACGGCCTTCTCAGCAGCAGCTGGGGAGTAGTTGCAGGAGTCGGCGTTGTCGTTACCGGCAGCGACAGCAAAGTGGATACCAGCGTCAACGGCAGCGTTGACAGCGAGGTCGAGGGTGGTGGACTTGCCACCTCCCAAGCTCATGTTGGCGGCGCTTCCCTTGAAGCCCTTCTTCTTGCCGTCCTTAGCGGCCTTGACGGTCTCAGAGTGAGACTTAGCAGCGTACTCAACACCCTTGACGACGTCGGACATGGTGCCGGAGCCGTTGGAGCGGAGGACCTTGACGGCGTATACGTGCGCCTTCTTAGCGACACCGTACTTCTTACCGGCGACAGTGCCGGAGCAGTGGGTGCCGTGGCCGTTGCCATCCTCGTCGGCATCGCCGTTGGGGATGGTCTTGCCCCACTTAGCACGACCCTCAAAGTCAACGTGCTTGGTGTTTGTGCCGGTGTCGATGACGTAAACGTCAACGCCCTCACCACCGTCGGCGGCGTATAGGTACTTGTTCCATGTGCCGAAGCTCAGGGAGTCGCGGTGCGAGATACGGGCGAGGCCCCAGGGGGAGTTCTTCTCAACTTCAGGTTCGTCGTGGCCGAGAGTGTGGACCTCTGAGTCGCGCTCGATGTAGTCGACCTATCAAGGTGTTAGCGCCAAGTCTTATGCAGGTACAGGTACCTAGATGGCGTCACGTGTGCTGATGCGGAGCCGGAGCTGCCTGCGGAGATAAGGCCGCCTAGGCAGCGCTCACTCTAGGCCACCAACGCGCTGACGCCATCTGGGATGATGCAAGCTGGTAACAGCTGGGGATAGAACTTACATCGGGGTGGTTCCTGATGGCCTCGATGGTCTCGTCGTCAAAGTGGCCAGAGTAGCCCTTCATGCCGGCCATCTCGTAAACGTGCTTGAGACCATCGAAGACCTCAGTGGTAACGGGGAACTGCGAGGAGCGCTTTCGCAGCTCCATGCGCTCCTCGTTGTTCTTGGTGTGGACGCTCTGGACCCAGTCGTGGTGCTTCGAGGCATCCTTGACGTGCTTCTTGAAGACAACCATGTAGCTGTTGGGCACCTCCTTGGCAGAGGTCGACGACAGCACTGGGGCGGCGTTCTTGTGAATGGTCTCTACGTTGAAGGTAGGCGACGCGGCGGCCAAAGCCGGTAGCGCGAAGACCAGGCTGTACTTCATGATGGCGGAGCTCGCACAGCGAGAACTAGAAACACAAGGGTAAAGGGGTGCAAGAAGCGTGATAGATGAAGGAAGGGGTGATGAGAGGGAGGAGAGTGTTGTGGAGGAGAGATGGGGATGCAGCTGGGGTAGCTCTGGCGATGGAGCTTCTTATCAGGACCTCGGTGCATGGCCCGGGCGCGCTAGGTGGATGACGCATGACCTATCCGCGCCCGCGCGAGTGAGGCTGGGGTGAGCTAGCGCACGCGCCATGAGTATCAGATGAATGATACACGGTTGGTATCAGGACACCCGAGTGCTCTGGGATGCAGACGATGGCTGTATTCGTGGAGCGTGGCTTCACATATGGGTTACTGGGAGCCAACGTTGGTCTGCCATGTACTGAGGTAGTTATCGATATGCCAGAGCAGCTGTGCCAGCCACACCTGGGCAATGCGTGCTCACGTGAGAGGCAATAGTCAGGAGCGCACTATGCGGCCCGCGTGAGACAGAACGCGTGTTTATCATAACTGTGTTGGTAGGCGATATGCACAGCTCCTAGTGCTGGTGCACTGTTTATCAGTACCTTGCTTTGCGGCGACTTGACGTTGCTCGGCGCGTGGGCGCCTGTAGCCTGGCTGAGCTCTGGACTGACAGGGATCAGCTTCGATGACCAGCTTAGCAGCAACCACGACGAGCGCGGAGCCCGCCCGCCGTAATCAGCCCTCATTGTGCGCCCGCCCACCACCAAACGACACGACTAGTATTCCCCGCAAGTTGAGGTCTCATGTGCGGGCTTGGGGCTCGGGAGACATGAAGGTGCTACCCGCGCAGCCATCACCTCCGCCCAAACTCCGCAGCAGCGGTCTCGCCTGAACATGGCGACGACGCGGCCGCACAGGTCCTCCACGGCCGCCTCACGACTGCCGCCGATGAATAACCAGATAGCCGAACTCCGAAGCCTAGCGGATGAATTGATCAGGGCCTCCGAGACCACACCACCGACCGCCGACGTCCTCCACAACCAGAGCAACGCCCTCCGCCGCATGCGCCAGCTGCTGATCGAGTCCAACGACCAAACCCATACCAAAGACGCGTTCCGCCATGTCTGCGGCTTCGAGACTCTCCTCATTACCCTGCGCTCCCTCTCCGGCTTCTACAAACCCGCCGAGCTGCCCACGCCCGACCGCATCGACTTCTTCGAGGTGATCAAGGGAACACTCGATGTCCTGTCAGACGCGCTGAACGAGCATGCCGGTAACAGGCGCTTCTTCGCCAAGCGCGTCGAGCACGGCGGCTGGAGTGCTTTGGAACAAGCCCTGGCCAGCACTGGCATTTTTGGCGGACAGTCGCAGAGCAAGCGTGACGATGCCGGCCAGGAGCAGCTTTTCGGCACCCTGTTCGCTTTTGCGTTGGGCGAGGAGACCATGACACGCATCTTCAGGGATATCGATAAGAAGGTCGAAGTCGCACAACCCAAGCAGGACGAGGACGCAGCAGCCAGCGGCGACTCGCAGCCTACCGAGATCGTAGTCTCTAGCCCGCGGTCCGTGTACAGCGATACCGATCTCGATCTTGACCCACTACGCAGCCAGGTGCGGGCTATATTCAGCGGCAATGAGATACTGCAGAATCCAGACATCATTCCGACCATCTTCCACTTCTGGCGGGGTCTTTCTGGTGAAGATGCCCCGGGCACGCGCTCCAAGGCTCTTTCCATATCGGTGCTGCTTGCCATCCTGGAAATCACTTCCATCTCATCTTACAACAAAGCTGCGCTGCACGTCACTGGCGTCTTGAGCAGTGTCCTACCCCTGCTCTTTGAGAACAAATGCGCCCCTATAGAAGCTAGCCTCTTGCAAGAGCTGGCCGACGACCTGATTCAGTACGGCATCAACAAGCTGGACGATGCATACTACCTCTTCCGCAAAGCAGCGTCTTCTGAATCAGCTGCCGAGTTTCTCTTGCGTGGCATGCGCTCCTCCCGCGACCCGCCTTTCATACAATTCGATCTATCTTTGCATGGCTTCAGCGCTGTTGAACTTCCAGACATTGGTCGTCCATTCCCACCCATGTCCCCCGGAGGCGGATATACATTTGCTGCTTGGGTAAGGGTCGAAAGGTTCGACGCCGACTGCCATACCACCCTCTTCGGCGCATACGACGATACACAAACGTGTTTTCTCATGGCATATCTGGAAAGGGATACGCGTTGCTTTATCCTGCAGACTTACATGGGTCATTCTACTGGTGTCATACCCAGTGTCAGATTCAAGAAAGCTCCTCGTTTCGAAGCAGGCCGGTGGTATCACATCGCTGTGGTTCATCGGAGAGCCAAGACTATCGGTATCGGCGCTGCTAAGGCATCTCTTTTCGTCGATGGTGAGTTCACCGAGACTATGAAGGCCCACTACCCTTCGCATCCTCCGTTACTGGATAGCAGCCAGGATAGCTTTGCCTCCATGTCTTCTAGCGTGTCCAAACACCACATACTCGCGTTCTTGGGAACACCACGGAACTTGGCGCCTCGGCTGGGTAGAAACGTCATTGCCTCTAAGCTCTCAGTCGCCTCCTTCCATCTATTCTCTGAACCGCTGTCAGATGAGCTGATCGCTGTATATCATAAACTTGGTCCGCGTTATTGTGGAAACTTCCAAGATAGGCTCGGGTCGTTTCAAACCTACCGTACCTCTGCTGAGCTTCATGTTCACAACGAGATATTACATCCTGGGAGAGAGGAACGATCCGACATCGTAGCAGCTATTCGGGCCAATGCAAGCCATCTCATGCCTGAATCGAAGATAATACTGAGCTTCTCTCCCAGTTCCGTAATGGACGACGATGACAGAAATGCCATCGATGAGTCCCAACTA